CCCCAAAACCCCAAAACCCCAAAACCCCAAAACCCCTATATAAAACGTAACGATTGGGCTGTATAATAATATTTTGATTTGACATAAAGAGATAAAGTTTAACAAGAATGGAAATTATATATCCGGCTAATCTCAGCCTAAATGAGTTCTCCCAGACTTACGATCAAGAGATCGCTAATATCACACGGCAATCAGCCCTTACGCTGTATAATCTAGTGGATTTCCCAAACTCAACCAAAGTTATTGATGTTGGAAGAGGGACAGGACTATCTTCAGACTGTGTCATTGGTAATTCTAAGAAAGGAACAAGATTTCTGTCAAAAAATTTGGGCAATAGCACTAAAATTATGGTACCTTCGAAATCTTATAAGATAACACATTCCTCAATGGATGGTTCAATTTCTAGCCAAGTTGTAGACCCAACTTTCTGAAATTGTCAATTATCTCCAAATTTGGAAGTACCTACAAGAATTAGCCAAGAAATTATGAGCTTCAGTTCGGAGGTGAAATCAGAACAAGATGAAAAGGTCTTCAGAGTCATAAATGAGATCGAACAGCTACCCTTTGATAACGGAAGTTTTGATGCTTACACTTGTAACCTCACCTTCCAGTTCAACTCCAATTACTTAAGAGCCCTCTGAGAGTCATATCGGGTGCTTTCCAAAGGAGGGAAAGCAGCCTTCTCAATTTGGGGTAGGGAAGAAAACTGTACTTTTCTTACATTTCTCCCAAATATTTTGGAATCTCGAGGGATACAGATCGCCCCAGAATTTGACATTGACTTCGACCTTATCTCTACAGACCAGATAATCGAGGATGCCAAAGATATAGGGTTCAGATCTGTGAAAAAGATTCATGTTCCTTTCTACTACTTCATCATGGATGCTGAGGAGATGTGGGAATTTCTGGTCAACAGTTCCCACAGAAAGCAACTCGACGAACTCGACGAGGACACTCTTAACTGAGTTAAAGAAGACGTATATCGAGAATTTGAATCCAACTTCGGTGACCAAACCGATGAAATGATCGGCTTCGAAGTTACCTTTATTCTTTGTACTAAATAAGTTTCTTTAAAAATTTAATCTAATTGGCTAGAAATTCTTTGACATTTTGGAGGTTATGATTAATTCAGAGTGAGGCCACTACTATTCTATTTTTCAATTGGATATTTTATTATTGGGGTTTTGGGGTTTTGGGGTTTTGGGGTTTTGGGG